TTTATTGCTTTATTAGTTTCCTAAGTAGAGTAGACTTAGATCTAGTTGGTGCCTATATAAAGGCCCTTCCCCTATGTTATTTTTGATAATTCAATCATCCAAGAAGTCAATAGAAATCTAGAACTTTGTTCTTCCAACTTTGCTTTAGTCTTTTCACCAGAATACTATTGCAATTTTATTCGTTCTTAGAGGCGCTGTTGTGGCTCGAAGAACACTATCGGCGATTCAAGGCGCGGGTTCGCGGCTTATCGGCAGTCGAAACACACGATCCTCATCATGCACGCTGCGCGCATACGCGTGGGCGGCTATGCGTACGGCTGCGTGCACGCGTGCATGCTTAGTGCACCGTGTATGTATTCATGACTTTGCTTAGTTTTTAACTTCGAATCTAGTTCCGAACTTTCTTAACTTTCAATAATTAATCCCGATTAATAATGTCCGTTTATAAAATAAACGGCTCGGAAGTTAATTATCGAATTTTGACTCGGTTAATAATTAACCGGATAAACTTTTCGACTTAACGTCGAACGTTCGCTAAAATAAACGAAATCAATAAAAATAATACATTATTTATATTAACAAGAAGTTGGGTTATTACAACAGGTCACCGGTACCTCCATACATGTAGGGTTCTGCCTATCACGGAGCTCGTCACAATCCACACATAACTCGATATCACGCACACATTCTCTCCATTACGAGGCTAGAACGTGTCATGCATCCTCGCAAGTCCCGGTGGTGGAGTCAATCATCGGGCTAAGTTATCGACTTGGTCGAAAAACCATAATAGGACGGACAATCATCACTTATACTCAAATTTGGTACATTTAGAACACACGGTTCTGTTTGATACCACTGACAAAGCCTCTCTCCTCCCCGACACGAACAACATCTCGTATGTAGTTTAGGAAGTATAGGCTAGATACTCAATAACGATTTCCTCCGCGGAGTCGGTCTCCAGTCGAGACTCAAGGCTCCGTCCCCACATTACTACGGAAACTACTATCTCGCCATCCCGAGAAAATCTCGCTTGTGGCATGAGAAACTAATCGACAAACCTCATACACTGGGGATTGTTGATTAGGGTATTCACACAACGACTCGAAAGATCAACATACACTTTGACCAAAAATCTGGTTCAAAGACCCCTAAAAGGACAAGGTCGAACTGGGTTTAATACACTGTCACCCGAGAGGTGACACACACGCTGGCGCTGCATATGCGGGGCGCTGGGACGCGTGCATGTACCCACTCGGATACCAGCTACAAGGTCAAAGTTTGGCCGTACACACTAACCTAGGGAGTTTGGCGTTCGGTGATGGCGGCAGCAACTTTCGTGCGAGTCAACGGTCGGCCACTGCAGTTGGCCTCACATCTCTCAGCACGGGCGGCGGGCTCGATCACCACTTCGCGTGGCTACACCCAGTCAGGTTCGGCACTCGGTTCGAGGCACATACCAGAAATTTCAATTTTTAAATCTCACAATTTCTTAAGTACTCCGACAGGACAAAGGGTTTGACAACAACAATTTCCCCAAAAGGGATCGAACATTGGCATCACTGCCAGGAAAAATTCTAACTCGGTGGTCAACGTCAAACAACGACATGGTTAGCTCGTTTAACTCTTCCGACTAACAATGTCGGCCGCCACGACAGCTTTTACTCCGGCAGGTAATCGTGTCGGTAGTCCTAAACGAGTTCAACCTCACATACAGCCTATAGTTCTCCACACTTTGAGATATTAGCGTAAAGCTTCTCTCGTACGTGTTACCAGTCAACATTGATATAACAACGATCAAATTATTTCACATAAGGCACATAAGCATGCATATCGAAGGTAACACTTATTTTCGAAAACAACTCATGCGATATAACTGAACCACATAGTCTCAGATGAATATAAATCCTAAGACATGCGGCTATAATTCTCATTTAAATCACACAAGCATACAAGGTCGTTCGATCACATTTTTTTTTTCAGGAAACATTTAAATCATGATCGCAATTCAAAGCAGGAAATAGTCACGTAGGGCACATATACATGAACATTGACGAAAAGCAAATTTTGAAATTCACAACTCAATTTGGAAACCTAAACATGAACTTGCACCAATTTCCAGCATGCGTGATGAATTTAAAATGCTTGTAGCTTTTAGTCTAGATATCGTATCATGATGAAACCACTTGACAAATATCCTAACTCAGGCCTCTATCACTTTCATGAAGAACACTCTGGCAGATAAAATCATCGAAATGCACATAATACAACAAACATATAAAACATAGGTGCAGTGGATAAATGAAGACATACAGCTTGACAGGTTCTCAGTGTATGCACAATAACCGAAGCTACAAACATTATAATACTGAAATTCAAAATCTCCAAGATAGCTAACTCAATTATCTACAACTTTCATGTTGATCACTTAAGCCGAAAATAACTTTAAAACATTTAGGTCAAGAAATCTGCCAACGAAACTATTTATAAATTTGCAGCAGTTCACTAAAACAACGATATCTCATGTTATAACACTCTAAATCAAATAAACTAAAAATTTACAGAAACTACACTAGGAAAGCTACATGTTTCAAGAAGAGAAATTTTAAGAATAATCACGTTAAAAGCCCCATATCAGAACATACATTTCAGTCGTATACACTGCCACTATTTCAAAAATTTTGGGCATAACCCCATCTTTGAAAATTTATATAAAATCAAACAGAACCCCAACTAATATGATTTCAACTCCCAGAGAAAGATT